ACCAAGCGATACGCATCGATTCTGTTTGGTCATTGTCCTTTTTTGCGCTAGGCAAATAGCTGCATTACCTGTGGATCTGTAATCCAATCCAATGTTCTTCGGCCTCCGGATGTTTGTGCACATTCATTCCGTTTTTTATGGCGTACTGGGCATCGAATTCGGAATCCTTTCGGAACTACGGGGATATGTCCTTCATGCGTGACACTCGAGGACTCACCTTTGATGACCGCCGATTAATGGGTCGTTCTTCCAAAATTCTAACCGCATCCCACGTGGTAACCATAAAATTGAGGTTTTTATACCATACCTTTTTGAGATTGGCATGGTTTGATTGGCCTTTCTTGGTTGATCTCATTCTTTTGGCATGTGCTCGGGAGGAAATCGATAATAAATTTAACATAATATTGGCTCTAAAGGTTTTTGGATTTTTTATATGGTAATGTTTTATGTTTCACATTGGCCAGGTGGTATTTAAATGGGTTATTTACTTCATAAAATTATAACACTATTATTTTAATATTTAGAAAATCTTTTTGGAACTGTTAAATGAGTTGGTTTTGTTGTGTCCTCTCTTTTCTGGAGGATATTGCTTAGAATTGGAGCGTTTTGGGATGGAATTGCATTGATTGAGCTGTTTCCGGGATGTCTTCGTGTGGCCTCATTGTGAGTGCTTCTCGAAAAGGACCCCACAGCTAGTCAGGATGGGTCCTCCTGACTCACAGGAGCCTTGTCGCCTTCAAGTTGCATACAAAGCAGCTTCGGGGGAAGAGATAGAGTCGCACAAAGAGCTCGGGGAATTATCGAACAAGGACCTGAGTGCAAGGACATCTCAATCAATGCAAAACTGTCTGCAAAACGCTTCCTGGAGTGCGCTGTCCATTGAATTTGGCCAACAGAATGTGTCAAAATTGTGTTTGTCATACAATCGATCCTCTGATGACTCAATACTCTACTTCATCCTGGAGAATAATCCCTGTGGCCACCCTGGGTGCGTTAGTCAAAACATGGGAATCTACTATATATATATGGTATACAGGAATACAGGGTACGAGACCCACGTGGATTCGGTGACATCCCGAAAATGTCCTGGAAAAGGAAAACATGTGCAGCCAGGCCTGGGGAGCAATTTCAATTAATGCTTCCAAAACTGCAATCCAAAACGACGAAGGCCACATGTGTTGTCCTTATGCGTTTCCTTTGGGGCTCCACACACAAAAAAAAATATGTAGGCTTATACTAAAATTAGGGATTTACAGAAAAAAGATAAACTATCTACAAACTATTTAAATTATTTAAATAAATTTTTAACATAATTATAAGTTTACAAATTATTCCTTCCCTTTTTATTTAAGGGTCTTATGGAATGTTTTTATATGTAAATGTATAAATTTTTCAATATATACCTTTTCTCAAGTAATACATTTTTCCAAGTAAAATTCGTTAAATATTTTCTTAAGTGCATGGCATGACATAGTTTGGATCAGTACAATATGGAACCAGGACGCGAGTCATGAATGAAATTAACTAGGATCCGTCAGCCGCAGCCATACGCAAGATCATCTCCGGTTGAAGTGGAAAATGAGAAAAAATATATAGGGGGCGGGGGGCTTAGGTGAACCACAGGCGGTTCCAGAAAGTGTTAACCTGCTTTTTTCCCTCCACTGTTGTCCAGCGTTATCCTCTTGACCTGGTTCCCAGTCGCTGGATTAACCGCTTAAGGTTCTTAGCCACAAAGCGCACACTTAAGTGCCTCATTGTGGACTGAAGTACGTCCACTCGAAGATAGATAGCAAAAAAAACGGAATACTATAGAAAATAAGTAGCTGCTTAAGTTAAAGTAGCTCGGCTTAGGCTGCGGTTAATTTCATAAGCCACAGCAAGTAGTATAATTGCCAGAGCAGTATATCTATGAGCCAGAGCACTGGGTTAAGAAATCAGAGCTGAATGAAACTGGATAAATGAAATCCTTGAATGAAACTGGACCACAAAGGATCAGCGTGGCTCAGTGGATCAGGCACTCACAAAAGTGGTCAAATCCTTTAAGCACTAAAGTAAGACAAGAATAAAACTGAAAATAAATGCTTCTCAATCAGCCAACCAATCTTGCAGAAATATCCAGCCAAAACTTAAATTTTAATCATTTTAATGAATATAACTCTGTCTCTATAGAGTTTTTTTTCCCCCAAGATTTTTTCATTCACAAGACTATAATCTCGAAGAAACTTGTGTCATCTGTCGCAATTACAATTGATTTTACCCACCAGCCAGCTCGTGTTCGATCGGGTCAGAGATCAGCACCTGGCTGCCTGGATAATGGTAATGCAATATGCCCAGAAATCGGAGGATCGAGCAACGGGAAACCCAATCAAGTCAACGGTATACGCATGCGCACACGCTAAAGTGAACTGAAAAACAGACGGTACTCGCAGTAATAACTCATTATTACTCGCAATGATTTATGAATATTCAATGGTGACATGTGGGGGCGTGACCCCAAATGGCATAACGACGGGGAAAATCAAAAGCGATCGCGGCACCCAGAGCTATGAAACCGAATCCCCCAATCGAAGGACACGAGCGGGTCCATACCACATATCCCTTTGAGATTTCATCTGTCCCTTAAGCCTTTTGCATTCACCAAACAATTAAAAATAGAAAACCAAACCCAACTAACGGCATAGATTTCCAAGTTCGAACGGGAAAAATACGAAATCCGATCCAAAATCGAAGGTGTACGGTTAAGGGGCGTGTCGCATTACCAATATTTAATAATTATAACGGTGCGTGAAAAAGATTTTCACTGCTAACGGTGAACGGGGCACCCACCACAATCACACCAGAAAATGGAAAGGTAGGAAAATACCTTTGCACCTGGATTGGGAAACTGGAAACTGCTCGGAAAAAGGGGGTTGTAGGCGAACTCAGGAGCTCGGGATCAGGCCAACATATACACACAGCAAAATAAAATAAACCATAATTAAGAATGTTTTCTTAAAAATAAGTTTAAGAACTACTTTTCTAAAATCAAGGTTAAATTGTTCTTGAATTTAAAGCAAAATACTTGAGGTCTTTTTTAAGTTCAAATTAGTTTTATATCTGGAGTTTCGGTCCCAAGTCAAGATCCTTCTTTTCTATCAGTGTATTACCCAGATTCGTTTGGGTTCTTAGATTTTTCGGGGCCCTGCAGATGCACTTCTCCTTCTCGGCAGATCCTTTGGCACAGGCCATCTTTTCTTAATGGCCAAACGTTTTTCAATTGATTTTCCTCATTGTTCGGCCGTCTTGGATAATTTTGCATCATCTATATCCTTTGGGTTGGCGCGTTTTTTCTGTTTATTCCTCAGTTTTTGGCCTGTTTGGGCAGATGTCCCAAGGAAAAGGGAAGGGGAGACAGTTGCGAGGACACGTAGGCACAGGACAATGAGGTCCTGCATACAATTAGCCAGGAGACAGGAGAGCCTAGCGCCAAGTCAGCGTGAGGGTGAGAAAATATCCTGTAAATAATGAGGAGAGCAGTCAAGATTTTGCTACTTTAAATGCCAAAAGTATGTGCATATATATTCCACTTATATATCTCCTTGGGGATTATAAATATTTTCAGGAAGGTGGGAACAATAGAGAGTGATCTATGTATTTTGGTAAATAAATGGTAATACATATTTTGTAATACATTTTGATAGTCAAAAACTGTATTTCCCAAAATTTGTATAAATAAATTATAATTTTTGAGAAATCATTGAGGGACTGACATTTTTAATGATGGGAAATCTTTTCCCGTTTGTAAATTTAAATAATTTCTTTATGACTGAAAACCCTTTTTGTTTTTTTTATCCTATTTTTCCTTTTTATTTTTGACAGGCTCCTTCAGTCATTTATGCAAATCCCAAACACAATTCAATCACTTTAAGATGGACTAATCGATCAAAGATTTCATCTTAAGATCGACAATTCGATATCAGGACATTTAAGACCCTTTTTTAGGGGCATTCTGTTTGCTTTTGCGGTTGCCCGGTTAAATCCCTAATTAATATGCACTGAAGTCCTTACCCTGAAGGCTTTTCCTCCCTGTTTCCCAACCACCCTAGAATTTTTCAACCTCCTCCCCCTTTTTTTCGGTGCACTTTTTAATTACTTGTGTCATTATGGATCGGGGCACATGTTTAAACCGAACCGTTACAAACGAATACCGAACACTTGCAGCATAACTCTTAAATTTCCAGTTCCCATTTTCAATTCCCACGTTGCAGGGTTACGGCATTCGAAATTCGAATATTTCTCATATGCCACTGTCATTTATCAGGACATGAGGCTCATTAGCATATCGGGGCACTGGAGCGCAGTGCCTTGCAGGATCTGCTACCCTCTATGTTACACTAAAAAAAGAAAGTCCAGAAAACCATATAATGGGACAGATAGGATAGATAGATTGTTTCTTAAAAAAATTATTTTCGAAAGTTCGTTTTTTGAAAAGAATTGCTTGTTAATTGTAATTCTTGATTTCCAAAATATCGTTGAACAATTAAATTTTAAGAATTTTCGAATTTTCAGAGAACTAAATTTTTTAAGTGCATGTATGCAAATATTTCTCGTGTATCCTTGTTTCGCTCTCTATCTATCCTTCAGACGGCGAGTCCTTTTGCATGCATGGACGCTTATGAAAATGAACATGATATTCCGATTCCATTCCAAATTTTTTTTGTGGATCCGATGAATGTGCATGTTTGCTAGCCATTAACCATTATTTTTGAAACTCAATATGATATGCAAAACCGTTAGGCAGCGGATCAGAGCTATGGGAACTAAGTCCGATCTCATGAGGATTAATTTTACTATATCAACGAAAACATTTCAAAACTAAATACAAGCTGAAAAAAATATTTTAAGTCCCAAAAACTTTCTTTTCATTGTCCAATAAAAATCACAATTATTAATTTGATTTTTCACAAATTTTCATATATATTTGCTTTATATTCAGATACATACATATATAAAATCGCTTATCAACTCAACATTCGTACATTAAATCTATGAAAAAAATTGGGTTCTTAAGTAAGCACAATTAAAAAATACAGTAAAATGGGCAAAGGATTACGAACTACGACTGGCTCAACATTTAGCTCTTTATCAGGTTAACTATTTTGTGGTTGGGTCTTAGAAGGTTCTTTCGATTTGGTTTATATCACTAGATGACTTTCATACTCTTTCTGGTTCTTAGACTCATTTTGTTTTTAAGATTGCTATTTACACAATGACTCAGTCAAGGCTTGGTTAAAAAAAAAAAACTTTAAATATCTCTAGGGATTCGAAATTACTTTGGAAAGGTGTCCAAAAGTATGCAATAAAATCTTGAATTTATACTGACATCACCTTTTGTTAAGGAACTCCGAAAGCTCTAGAGACTTGAGATAGATTTTGGATTTGGCTACATGGACAGATTGGTGGAGGTGCCATCGGATTTGGGCGTGTGTGCCTCCCACCAGTCGATGGCATCGATCATGCTCTCATCGGAGAGGCAACCGCCGGCTGTGTTGTTGGGCTGCTCCTGCTGCAGGATGTCGCTGAACTCCTTCTTGAAGCCGGGCAGCACTACGTTGTCGTAGAAGCTCACGGGTTCCTGGTCGTAGAAAGCGGGTAAAATGGGCGAGGATCCCAGGATTGGAACTTGCTGCTGCTGCTGCTGTTGCTGTTGCTGCGGGGAACTCAAAGTGTTGCTGGTGTTGCTGCCGTTGATGTTGCCACCGCTGACGTATTCCTGTTTGATCAGTTGCTGTTGCAGCTGGGCGGCACACGCCTGCAAGAGCAGCTCGTTCGCGGCGACAGGTGAAACTGGCGAGGAGCAGGGGCTACTTGCCACCTTTTGTGGCACGGGCGATGATCGCGATAACTGCCCCGCAGAGGCAGCTGTTATTCCTGGTTGTTCCAGCTCTTGCTGTTGCTGGTGCTGCTGCTGGCTCAAATCGCCCAATAATTCAGCCGTTAGCAGTTGATAGGTATTGGTTCCCGGTATCCTGATGTACTGCATCCCATTTAGGGTGGTCAAGCTGGGCAGGAGATCGCTGGCTTGCAGGGGACTCAGATTTTCATTCTGATTCGGATTGGGCAAGTGATTCTCCACTGGCAAAGCTGGCTGACCAGCCGGCGGCAGCTGCTCCTCCATTTCGTAGTTGCTCAGGGAGTCATCGAAATGCTCATCCAGACCATCGAACTCGTCCTTGATGAACATGAAGCTATCGTCGCCGGAACCGGAACTATTGCCCTGGCCGCTGAGTGGGGGGAAATCGAAGCCCAGCAGTTTCTCCAGACTCCTGATGTACTCCACGGCCATGCGGAGGGTCTCCACCTTGGAGAGCTTCTTGCTGGCCCCCCTGCCCGCTCCCTGGGCCTCGAACGCCTCCGAAACTTCTTCAGGAATCTTGTCGCGCAGCAGGGCAAATCCATTGTTCACCTGCTTGACGCGATTTCTTTCCCGGGCATTTCTACGGGCCACAGCCTGTGGCAGTGGCAAACCCTTTCTACCCGGGGTTCCCAAACTGGGTTCCGTTTGGATCTTACTGGGTTGAGTTATAGATGGTGTTTTCGGGGGCTTTTCCACGGCCAGTTTCTTGCTGGTTTTGCTCCTCTTGGCGGGCACCGAAGCTTTTCCTCCGCTGGGCTGCTGATTCTGCTGGTTCTGTTTCTGGGACTCTCCCAGCGGTCTCTTCCTCTGACTGGGCACCGGTGTGGTATTGGTAGTACTTGCCACCGCACTCTGAACCGCACCCAGCATACCAAAGTCGCGGATCTTGCGAATAATGGTATTCTGATTGGCTATATGCTGTTGCAGGGCATTGGCGCCACTCTCGCTCAGAACATTGTGCACGGTGATCTTGCCAAAGGGCTTCAGGGTGGCCTTTAGTCCCGGACTGGGATTCTCCTTGGGATTCTCCTTGGGCGGTGGCGATGGGCTGAAGCTCAAGGCAGCCATGGTTTTCTCTCGTGGGGAGGGGGAGAAAAACTTGTGTGGGTTGTGCGGGTGTGTTCCTTGTGGAGCACGGTGTTCCCTGGACGAATGTTGAAAGGTGACTGATGTAATGTGTGGTGTGGTTCTCGTGTGTCCTTGCTTCAGGACAGCTGCTGGCGTTCTGTGTCGCGTGCCCCGAAACTCCGAACTCGAACTAAAACGCAAACCCAACGGAAGTGACTTCGTTGACTGACACACACAATATACGAGGTATTCGAGGTCCTGCGTATCCCTTATGTAAAAGGCCTGACTTTTCATCCCCTAGACTGGGGTGTCTACTTCCCTCGATCGCTCACTCACACACACCTCTACCGTATATATCATTTAGAGTGCGGCTTTTGGGAAAACTAACATCTGATCGACTCGAGCCAAAAACTCCACCTGGTTTAAGGGTGGATTTCGCCCCGATACGATCTCTCTCTCCTTATTTATCGGGCACACAGCACAACACAGCGTGTTTATATACCGCCCCTCTCGATATATGCATATAATAATAACCATATATGTATAAAGTAATAAACATACGAGTATATGGCCAGGGGAGCTTTGGCAGCCCTGGTCTCGAAGGTAAGTGTACCTGAGGATCTGCAGGGCAGTCAGCACCTTGGGTTCCCACACACAAACCTCATAGATCACGTAAGACTGCTGTTTTAAACTTATGCAACAATCCGTTTAGTTTAACTATTTGAAGAATATTATGTAGTATTCCTACCGTATATAGTTTTTTTCATCACTCAATCACTTAAGATGTTCCAGACCCCCAGAAAGTATTCCCAATCAACACAACCTCCAAGCATGACGACAATTAATCATCGAATCAACGACCTGTCAGTTCTACTTAACTTTCCACTTAATCGAAAGGCTGTCCCAGGACTATCTTTTGTAGAATTTCCCAGCTTCTGGCTGAAGAAAATAGAACCAATCAGGACCGGCATTGTGCAAAATCATTTGCCAATTGTCGGGCTAATTAAGGGAAATTAAAGAAGGCGAGAAGCAAGATCCTGGCGAATTTGTTCGGCCATAAATCCTAATTAAAATTGACAAGATGCCGATCCAAATCCTTCGAGGGGTGAGAAAACACCCATCCTTTCTCTAGCTACTTATTTTTTTCCCACTTTGTCGAGCAGAAAAATCTCTGGCAATTAGTCTGGTGGGAAAATAATTTTACCAGTAGTCTAGTTCTTTAATTTTTTTTCTTTTCTTTTTTTTTGGAAGCTTAGGTCTGTCTGTGGAAACTAGTTTTCGGTGTGCTTGTGCTACAATAAACTTTTTTTCGGTCCGGGTTCTCAGGTAGTTTCCAACAGACCTGAGTATGTAGCGGAGTGTATGTGTGTGGTACTTGCTGCACAATTTATAAACTTGAGTTCACTTGAAAGGTTCAAGGAAACGGACTTGAGCACAGGATCATCGACGGGGGAAAAAGGGGTTCCCGCCAGAGTCGACTACCGGTTTTTGATCCAGGATCCCGACGATCCACGATCCTCGCTCCTCGTTCCTTGTTCGCAAAATGCAGACAGGCTTCTCAAAGGAAAGGAGTCAACGATTGTGCGTACTGAGGAGTATTTTGAGTACTGAGGAGTCCTTGCTGCTCGGCGTCCTTTGTTGTCCTCGAGGCTTTGACTTGGTTGCGTCCCACTTTGACGACGCGACACGACACGCCTTTCGAGAGGCCGCCCCCCTGCCACGCCCCTCGTGTCCACTGAGAGAAAATTGTTGGAAAAGCAATGAGGTGGGGATATGCTTTAAGCTTCTGTCTACGATGTACGATATTTTAAAATAATATTCAAGAAATGGTTATACTAAAAAAATTCTAATTATTAATGAAAAACTATTAATTTACTTAAAAGTAAGGAATGGTCCATTTTTTATTTGAAGCTTTTTTATAAACGATAATACAATTATTTCTTATTGTGTATCCAACTGAGCTTTGTAATAAAAATAAAATAAAATAATAATAATCATAAATAAATAATAAGGAATATTTTTGTGTAGCCGGTTCAGCAACCCCCGATGGAATTATAATTTGTCTGATTCCCAACAGGGTTGAAAGTCGCATTAATGCAGCTCGGTTCTCCCAAAAATTCACCGTTTCTCTTATTCACACAGATAGGTAGAGATATGTACAGAAATCTGACAATATCTCTAGGGGAATTTTCGTAATGACAAATATAGGGGGTATATTCAATAATTTGGGCAGTTTGAAATTATAAAATAATAACAAGACAATTCTATAAGGGCAAATGTGTTTATAGGGTGTTAAGTAGTCGATTTCCAAAAACGGTATTTGGGCCCTTGATTTATGGTTGATTTTTTCGGGGAACCATTTGAACTTTATAATTAATATTAAGCTTTCGAAGCTATATTCAACCCTCTATGCAACAAATATCTGCAGACTCTCTCCCACTCTCTGAAAAACTAACATCCTGTATTCTAATCCTGGCATTCAATTTTTCAAAATTCTATTTCATTTTGACTTTCATCTTTGGCGGCTTGAGAAAATACAACAATTTGGGCAAACAAAAACTAATTTCGATCTTGGGATTGGCAAACGCTCCGATGGTTTCTGGCTTATTTGCATTTCGAGAAGGCATCGATTTCAATGGGAAAAAATCCAGAATGGGAAATGGAAAAGGGAGCGCTGGAAATATGAATATAGATGATGAGTGAAATTTGAAATGGGAGTGAAAGCGGTGAGCAAACACATGGAAAGCATATACACAGATCCTGGGAGATCTCACGTCCCTTTTTTTTCGGGTTCACACTCGGCAATCGTAAATCAATCAGGCAAAGCATTCAAAGCACTTTGACTTTGATCCCCAGCCATCAAATTGGCTTGGCTTTTCCTTTATTTTTTCCACATCCATTCCTTGCCTTTCCTTTCCTTTCCCGATTCATTAAATTATTTTTGTGTAACCCGAGGAAGGCGCCGAGTGAATGGGTATACGAATAAGTAGTCCTGGGGCCCTCTCATGTCCTGTGTGTACTTGTCGTCGGCTCAAGTGGATCCTTCAGGATCCTTCTTCATTCGGCATCTGTGTGCAGTTGTGCGTTCATAAATCCAGAGGCAGCCTCTTGTTTTCCCATTTCTGTGTTATTTCGTTTCTGGATTTATGAGTGGCGGAAACTTGAAGGAACGGAAGTCTCGCTGTGGAAGTCCTCGAAATAACTTCGGGATCAAGCAGCCCCGAGGAAAAGTGACAGGACCAAGGCGAAGAACTTCACAAAAGAATCGCTCTGCGGGGGACGACAATTTTTGGGACACTGTTCAGAAATCATTTTTGATTTTCAAATAGAATTGAGAATCTACTAAGAGCTAACTTGGGATCTTAAAAAAATTTTAAATGTTTAACAGTTGTAATGAAGGCCATCTGAAGCTTTTCCAGTCATATAACATTCTATTTTTGCTTCTTTTCTGTCCAAGAATCGATATAAACATTAAAGTTTTTAATACTTCTAATGTTTAAAAAAATTCTAAATAATATTTGAAATATTCTCGAAAGTACTTTTCTTTTTTCCATTTTTCCAGCATATTCCCACCAGCGGAAAAGTGCGACCTTCGGCTTGCGCCAAAAGTGTGCGATTGCGTCCAGTTTCAGTACCGCTTTTGAGAACAATGAAAAGCGAAAATTGTGAATTTCCCTAAAAAGTCGAATGCAGCTGAATGGAATGGTAAATTGTTATTGTGCGATCGCGCACGTGCCTTGTGCTCTACATAAGTGTGCGTGAGTGTCTGTGTGATTGTGCGTGTGTACTGGTATTGGTGCTCTACCTGGGACCCTATACACACGAAAAAAAACCAGGACTTACATTTATGCTATAAGATATGTTTAATATTTCTTAATTGAATGTTATAATAATTTACTATTGATGAAGTATTACCATCATATTAACTTAAATGTTGTTTTCCAGTCTAAAAGTGATTTCTAAAATAACGAAATGTATCATCTATACAGTGAGATTTTTCTGTCCGTGTAGAGAACACCATGACCATGCGTATATATGGGACTATATGGTATCGGGGCCCCTTTGGCGCGCTTTTCGGGGGTTGACAAACAACAATAAATTACCCTCACCCTCGCCAGGCTACCTCTCCATCTCCCTCGCTCTCTCCCTCAACCGCTCCCTCTTTTTGGGCCAGGTCCTGTTCCTATCCGATCCGATCCTGATCCCGATCCTTATCCAATCTGGGCATATATCGCTTAAGGCGCAAATGTGCATAAAAAGCGGTAATGAAAATTAAGAAGTACACAGGGAAAAAAATTCAGCCGAAACTCTTAAAGCTTAAATATTTATATTTTCGGATTCTATAGTTTAAATAGTTTTAGTAATTAAAACGAATTTAATTATTTTAAATATTTTTAAAATAGTCATAGAGTCAAATACATTATTTAGAATCTTATTGCTTTAAGATTTTATGGACTTAAACTATAAAGTTAACATCCGTTTTTCCGGCAATATACTGATATATTTTTTGAGTAAGTCCTCATGGACTAATTTAGGTTTTAGATGTTTATTTGTTCGCGGTGCCAGGCGTTTTGGCCGCAGGACACCGACCGGTTTAAAAACCGGGCTCGTGGGTCTCCCTCGCATTTAGCTCTGTCTCCCTCTCCGTTAGCCCCGGCCCGCTCTAACGCCCATTGTTCCGTTTTATATAGAATATAGTCCATGTATATCGTGTCCCGTGCTGGGGTCGCTGATCGCCGGCGATCCTGCATCGTCATCCTGCCGCGAAAAACATCTGCTCCTGCTGCACAGCAATCGCTCAACGGCTCTGCCCTTCGCCCCCTCTCTTTCTAGGGCTCTATGCCCGTCTCTTTCTGCACACACTGTCCCCCTCTCTCTTTTCTTTGATCAACCCCTGTGTCAATAGCAAATGTCCACCCGAAGGTCCTGGGCACTAAGTTCCGGCAGGATTAGGGGGTGTTTGCATTAAGGATCGCTGGTAACTTTCGACCGACAGCGAAAAAGCTGCCAGCAAATCGGGAATTCAGTCAGTGGGTGTTGCTCATATATCATTCTATATGGGCTCAATTTTTATACTGCCTTTTTACGATCCGTGGTCCTTAGGGTTTTATGTCCTTTTTTATACGCTATATGCTGTCATATTTCATCCTGCGTTTTTATTTTCAGGGTGTTTGTTTTCTTTAGTTTCTTTAGTTACGGGTTGTTTATG